CGATTGGCACAGGACAGAGCGGAGTTTAGGGCTGTTGTACATAGGTTCGCTATGAGTCGCAGGCGACTCGACGGCACATAACAACAACTTGCCCTTTGTAGGATTTTTTTTTTACTTCAAAGGTAGATTTTCTTCGCATTCATATTGTACCAAATCCTCTCTCTTTTTATCTCAAGAATTTATCTGGTACTGAAGTAATATGTGCCATTTCCAGAAATTTCCTTAATGCCCTTTTGTCTCTACTGTCTTTTTGTTCCAGCCCATACACTGCTTTAATCAGAGAACAATCTTTCTTAAATAAAATTTGATCATGTTATTTTCTTGTTACAATCTCCTGGATGAGATGGAGTGATACAGTAACTGGGGTAATGTGGGTTGGTGTATTGGAATTAGCGAGACTGGCTCAGGACAGAGAAGGCGTCAGAGCCACTCTACATAGATAGGGTCACTAATGGGTTGCTGGTGACTCAATGGCACATAACAACAACATTATATTGGTTGTTTTTTATTTAAGCCTCTTGTTTAGAATCAACAAGACCGCAGGGAGGGCCTACGTATTTAAAAGTCACTTGGTATTATATTTTGGAGGAACATTATTCTAAGTGGTACAGCACTCTGCTGTCAATTTATTGTATTGAGTTAACTTGGAGTTGCTGTGATGCTAAAACTTATGCCATTGGGGTGTCAAATGCCTTAACGGTTATCCATGGTGGACAGTGTTTGGTGGAGTTTAAGACAGGTTTGGAAGCAGGAGTGGCATCCAGTTCCTAAACAACATACCTCTGGAGTCTCTATGAACTTTGAGAAATGACGATAGTTATAGAAAAGTTTCATGTCTTTTGTTCATAGGGTTGCTATGAGTTGTGCTTGACTTAACAGCAGTCAGCAACAACGGTTTTCCAGTTTAAAGTAGAAGACAGAATAACTGCAGAGGGATACCAGAGAGCTTTCTGTGCTGATAGAAAAACTTTATTATTAAGGTGTTGATTATTTAATATACACTTCTGTCAAAATTCACTGAACTGTTCCCTTAAAATGGGACCAGTAGCAGATTGGTAGCTTCCTTTTACCTTCTGAGTAAAATTCTGATTAGTTTCAATGCACACATCTCTGCCTCTACTCTTCCTCATCTCTAAGCTCTCCATTCCAAATTACTGTTCATTCCTCAAATACAAGATGTTTTCTCTCTTTCATAGTGTTCCTTTGTACCCTGGTTCTTCATCAGGAATGCCTTTTCCCACAACTGCTCTTTTCTTTTTTTTAAATAGATTTACTTTATATCATTCCAACACTTTATGTTTATACAATCATTCATATACATTGTATTTTATAGGCTTAATTACTGTTGATTTATGCCTAGTGCCTTCTCTTCAAGTCTTCATGGAGTCTTTACTGTTCCTTCACCCCCTCCTCTGCCCCCTAACCTCTGCTATCCTGGTGGTTTTCCCCATTTCCCCTTCCTTTGTCCTCCCCTTCCCCTTCTGAACATTTATACACATCTTGCTCAGTTTTCCTACTTTTTTAACAATAGTGGTCTTATGCAGTATTTGTCCTCATATGACTGACTTCATTTCACACAGCATAATACTCTCTAGACTCTCATGTTATATAGTATTTTACAGAATTGTTATCCCGTAGTGCTGCATAGTATTCCATTTTGTGAATGAACCACAATTCCTCAATCCATTTATTTCTTGATGGGCATTTGAGCTGTTCTGTTTTCTTTCTATTGTGAATGAACATAGGCATTCTTTTCTCTTCCTAATTCCAGCACATCCTAAGTGTTACCTTTTCAAATAAACCTTCCTTGAAGCCTCCTTTACTTCCTGTGCATCCCTCCTCCATATGGGCTATAGCACCCTGTGTATCTCTCTGATTACACTAAACACTACACACACACACTCACTCTCTCTCTCTCTCTCTCTGATCTAGAAGCGCCTGAAAGCAGGAATTCTTGCCTTTGTTTCTCTGTCTGCAAACTTTGTGTCTGGTGCCAAGAAGCTATTTGATACTTGTTAAGTGAATACATGTAAACTACTTTTAAAAATTTTATTGTAGTAAATAATATAACATATATAGTATATAACCAATATTTGCTTTTTTATTATTTTTAATGGAAATTTGTTTTTAAAAGACTATTCTGTACTAACTTAAGTTCCAGCACTGTTGTATAGTACATTCTTTAAATAATGATATTTTTCTTTTTTATTGTACTAACTGTATATGCAACAAAACAGTGAGCATTTCAACAATCTCCACATGTACAGATGAGTGGCATTCCTTACTAACAGCCTGTTGTTCAGCTGTCACCTTTATCTGTTCCCAAATTAGACCAACATCTTCAGAGTCCTCATTTTTCCTTTTCACTTGCCCTCCCCTGATAATTCCTGCTAATCTTCATGGTCTATAAACGTGCCTATTTTAGATACTAGCGAGGTTTCTTTGCTTAATGATAAGGAGTTGTGCTGCCAACTCAAAGGCATTTGGTTTGAATCCACCAGTCACTCTGCTTCCCATGTGATTTACTCTCCCTGAAAACCACCTGGAGAGTCAGCTGTCAGTTCTAACCCAACAGTATATAACAGTGTTAGAGATACATATACATAAGATTGTAGCATATTTGTTCTTTTGTGACTCACTTTATTCAGCATAAGGTTTTCAAGACGAATCCATGCTGTTGTATGTACTGGGACTTCTCTTTGTATCTCTGTAATACTTAATTGTATGCATATCACATTTTGTTGATATCGTCCTTTTGACTGGCAGGCTCTTTCACTCTGCGTGTAGTGTTGCGGTGAACATTGCTGTATGTGCAGGCCTCTCTGGGCACTGCCTTCCTGCTTTCCATTCTTGGGAATATATGCCTGAGTGGAAATGCTGCATCATAAGATGTTTACTTTTTTTAGCCACTGACAGAGCATTTTCAGTGGTGGCTTTATGATTTCACAGACAGACTAGCAACATCCTTTTCAACAGTAGTTCATGTTCATCTTTCTCATATGATAGCTTTCTCAGTGAGAGAGGGGGGTCAAGTCATGTCTTGTTATGATTTGATTTTCATTTCCCAACGAGCTGGAGCCAGAAAGTCAAAAGGGTAGAGCTCATTCAGCATTTCTCAAGCTGAAGGAACTGAAGAATAAATCCAAGTCTCGAGTTGAAATACTTAAGGATGATATGGGAAAAATCCTGAATGATCCAGGAAGCATCAAAAGAAAATGGAAGGAATACACACAGTCACTGGTCCAAAAAGAATTAGCTATTGTTATTGTTGATTGCTGCCGAGTCGAGCACGGCTTACAGTGATCCTATGAAAAAAAAAAGCCTTTCTATAACTGTGATCATTTAACAAAGTTCATAGAGTTTTCAGAGGCATGTTGTTTAGGAAGTGGATGCCACTCCATTTCAAGCAATAGAATATGATCAAGAACCAGTGGTAATAAAGGAAGAAGTTCAAGGTGCTCTGAAGGAATTGGTAGAAAATAAGGCCCCAGGAATTAATGGAATACCACTTAACATATCCCAACAACCATATACAGCCCAGGATGTGCTCACCAGAGTGCGCCAGTAAGTCTGGAGGACAGCTACCAGGCCAACTGAGTTGAAGAGATATATATTTCCATTCTTAAAAAAAATGATGATCCAAATGCATGTGGAAATTTATTTAACAGTATAATATCACATACAAACAAAATCTTGATAAAGATTATCCAAAAACATCTAGAACAATACATCGACAGAGAACTACCAGAAATACAAGCTTTGAAGAGGCTATGACACTAGGTATATCATTGCTGATGTCAGATAGAGCTTAGCTGAAAGCAGAAGGTACCAGAAGGATGTCTATTTATGTTTTATCAACTAT